TTTTTGTTGACCTTTGGCCATGGAAGGTTTCTGCAAAATTTCATTGAAATTGGTTCAGGGGTTTTGGAGAAGAAGTCGAAAATGTAAATTGTTTACGGACGCACGACGGACGACGACGGACAAAAGGCGACTTGAGACTTTGTCTCAGGTGACCTAAAAAAGCTTTGTAATCGGAGAATAAATCATTCTTCTGCCGCAGTTAATTCAGGATGGCCATCATGGTAGGTTAACATTGTATTATTCTACTTTGAAAGAAAAGAACTGATTTTTGACAAAACCTGCGAGGAAAATTCATGATGGAAAGAGGAGGGAGCTTAAATATGATGAAAAGAAAAAACCATTTGCAAAACAAAGACCAGAAATTTTGCTTCAAACAAAATGTGATGTTCCTTTGTTGCCTGTACGAGGTGGCGACCATTTGAGTTATAGAATTTTTGTTACCTTATCCTTAATCTCTTTGTCTGAGTCGGTGAGAAAGATTGAGGAGGTCGGATCACTGGCACTCATTTTACTCTGGGCTCCCTGAAGGGCAGGGAAGAATGTTGAGTGTAACAGAGCTGGCTTCTCACAGTTAAGTCTGGGGGCCACATCACGTGTCATCCTAAAGTACGGGTCCTACAACGGTAAAATAAGAATCATTTCACCAAATAGATATTAAAACGTTTGATATTTCAATGGAGAGTTTGCTTAAGTGCAAAGAAAATAGAACTTGAAGTTAAAATTGTAATAGAGATGTTTACCTCTTTAACAGTTTGCAATAAAAAGTAACATAAAACTTCAGAAATGTATATAAATATTTCCCTTTTAATAACAAAAGACTGATGGTCCTGTATCTCTCTCCTGTTTCTTAATTATCTGAACTAGGCAAGAAGTTGAAATGTTTCTTTTATCCTCAGACCAACTTCATCATCTCTAGATTTGTTTTTGACCCAATTGATTTCAATGACAACATTTTTGCCCTCTGCAATGAGGTCATTTTTGCCCTCTGCAATGAGGACAAATTTATTATGAATGCAAATATCAGTATACGTAATAGTAATAACATGTTAAGGACGAAATTAAGCCGGGGCAAATATGGAATTTACCGGTGAAGGGTGAATATTTGACTGGTTGAAAATTTTACACCATACAGTATCACTTGCACCAAGTTTGTTCTATATTTTCCTAATGAATCTGGAGAGGAAATTGAAAATGCTTCTGAATTTGTTTCCTTTAATGTATAGTACTAAACCCCTATACTGTCCAGGGAAGCCACACCTTTCCTTTATACAAAAATGAATCCTCTTTGCATAATTAAAAGGCTCAATAAAGATTCCTATCTGCATTTCCCACAAAAAGCACTGCTCCTGGGCATCCATGGGTACCATGCCATTTAAAGAATGCTTGATTTCTTTAGCCTCAATATCCTCCATATGAAATTAAGTTTACATACCTTTACTCAACTTTTTAAGACTTGCCTCTATTTTGACTATTAGCCATTCTGATTTAATCAAATTTCCTTCTGGTCTAAGTTTCAAAAGGAAAAGCTGAGAATGGAATCTGGATGGACAGAGGATGAAAGCTGCACAATGACATAATCTCACTTAGCCCTTGGTTGTGGTCAGTTGAACTAAAGACCCAAAACAGGGAAGCCACACATGGGGAGATATTAGCCAGGTGGCATAGGACTAGCAGTTAATGCCTGATCATGATAAGACAGATCCTGAGAATTCCTCAAAAATTGTATTGATTAATGTATATAATTGTATTGGTTGTATAAATTGTATATCTTCTAGTTAGATAGTATAGGGCGCTATATCAAATGTTGTATATTATTATTATTTTGTCATTAAGTCACAGAGTATAAGTCAGGAATAAATCAAATGGTGTCATACCTGGTCTATTGCACATGGAATGAGGCAATGAATCTTCTGATGACCGCCGAAGATCTGCGGAAAAGCCCCACTGAAGCTGGGTGTGGCTTGGATAGCAGGGAAGGAGATTTTGCCAATACAGTCACTGTCAGTGAAGCCGAAGATACCCTTCACCTGGTTATATGTGACACATTTTTGGATTCGACACATCAACTTGTAGAATTCCGGAGACGAGCTGAAACCATTTGAGAAAAGTACAGAACATAATGGTCATACAAAGAGTGATGCATGACAGTTATAATATTATTGTGTCTGACCTGTAATAAACCTGTTTATTGTATCAAGCTCCGCTCATTTTATAAATGATTTCATAGATTTAACCAGGAAATTTCTGATAACAATAAAATATTTCTTTTTACATTAAGGGTAAGTTGAAATAAAGAAACCTTTTCATCTACAGTAAACAGACTTGTTCTAGCAAAGTTAAATCTAAACATAATGTCAAATTTTAACTGTTTATGGCATTAATGAATTGGTGCACCTACAAATGTGCAATGGAAAATCATAAACAGAAACTTCAATTAGTGTACAATCACAATTAAGCTCAATATCTAAATCACGGAAATCGCTAAAATAGATAACCCCTATAGCTAGAATATGTTCATTTACAGCACTTCGCCGTCTTGGTACAGACTAGACTGGTCGATCAGAGTTTATATCATACATATCACATCTAGGTCAGTACAGAGTACACTTGTACCAGGGTATCATACATATCACATCTAGGTCAGTACAGAGTACACTTGTATCAGAGTAAGTGGAAGAACATGAGAAATATTGTATATCTGAGCATTGCATTCATATCATATATTTCGAAAATAAATATATTTCAGAACTCTAGCAAAAAATGCTTAAATCTGAACTTACGAGATATATTCTACGTCACTGAAGATAAATGTTTTATTGACGTCAAAGCCACAAGCAATGATGTCTTTAGCATTTTCATGTGCAAGTCTGTTGGCCTCGTCAATTGTCAGATCCTTCCACAGAAACTTCTCGTCATCGGTCATCTGGATGACCAGTGGCACATCAAATGTGTCCTGCAGCCACCTTTAAACATAAATGACCATAACATTACCACCATAAATGACCATAACACTACCACATTAAATGAGACAGAGTAGCTAAACACATTGTACCACTAGTTGTTACAGTAAAACTCTGATGTATTGAAATCAATTGAAATCCGTTTTAACACCAATAGAATTTTTGTTTTTTCCAATTCAATGGATACAATAAACTAAGCAAAGGTTAACAATATTGAATTTATAAAAACTAAGCAGTAATTATCTTGTGCCTTTTGTAGGAATTCTATTTCTGAATCATACCAAACAAAACACATTAACATAGGTCAATGAGATACGCACTTGGTAAATATGAATGGGATGAGATGTCCGAGATGCATGGCCTCGGAGGATGGACCCCTTCCTGTGTATAGATAGAACGGCTGCTTCTTCTCCACTTTGTCCAGGATCACATGCATCTCCCTGTAAAAATCAATTTACATTACGTGACATGGACATCTGATCAGTTCTGGGAAAACAACAAATTTATGTTACAATTGAAAACCTGATTCCCTCTGACAGTTACCAATTAGACATGTGACAACTGACCTCCAAGACAAGTTAACAGCGACCTCTAAAATAGGTGACCAATGACCTTTGAGATGGGTACCAATAACCTTTGACACGGGTACCAATGACCTCTGAGACAGATGACAATTACCCAGTACCTGTGTGAGAAGAAGATGCCCCTCCGCAGCAGATGGTGGACAGGTTTGCCTGTAACTTTTTCAATCCTTGCAAGCAGTTCACTGTCGATCTTTGAACTTCCAAATTTATCTGCAAAGACAAAAGCATTTTACTGAATAAGTTTAGCAATATAAATATTTTGGCATATTTACAGAGGACAGCGACAATAGTTACAGCTTGTGGATTTGAAATGGTTTTGATGAATAGTGACTATGGTAACCCTACTATTTATATCTATTTACGTTGGATGGTAACCATAGCTATTTCATATTCTATATTTACAGTGAAAAGTGACTATCGTTACATCATGTTCCGTCTGTTTACAGTGAACGGTAGCCATAGTTACCCCATAGTGTACACCAAATATTGACTTCAAATTATGACAATGATTTTCTCATGTTTTATATCATTACAAAAGATGGCAACCCTTGTTACCCTGGGGATTATATATTTACATTGGAATGTAATCAAAGCAACCTTATCATCTATATATATTTACAGATGAAAGTAACCATAGTTAACTGATGGTCTATATATTTATAGATGATGGTTTCCATAGTTAACCGATGGTCTATATATTTACAGATGAAAGTAACCATAGTTAACTGATGGTCTATATATTTATAGATGATGGTTACCATAGTTAACTCATGGTCTATATATTTATAGATGATGGTTACCATAGTTAACTCATGGTCTATATATCTAAAGATGATGGTTACCATAGTTAACTCATGGTCTATACAGTATATGTATAGATGATGGTTACCATAGTTAACTCGTGGTCTATATATTTATAGATGATGGTTACCATAGTTAACTCATGGTCTATATATATATAGATGATGGTTACCATAGTTAACTCATGGTCTATATATCTATAGATGATGGTTACCATAGTTAACTCATGGTCTATATATCTATAGATAATGGATACCATAGTTAACTGATGGTCCATATATTTATAGATGATGGTAACCATAGTTAACCCATGGTCTATCTATCTATAGATGATGGTTACCATAGTTAACTCATGGTCAGTATATTTATCGATGATGGTTACCATAGTTAACTCATGGTCAGTATATTTATCGATGATGGTTACCATAGTTAACCGATGATCTATATATTTATAGATGATGGTAGCCATAGTTAACTCATGGTCTGTATATTTACAGATGATGGTAGCCATAGTTAACTCATGGTCAGTATATTTACAGATGATGGTTACCATAGTTAACTGATGGTCCATATATTTATAGATGATGGTTACCATAGTTAACTCATGCTCTATATATTTACAGATGATGGTAACCATAGTTATTGTCTGTATATTTACAGATGATGGTTACCATAGTTAACCGATGGTCTATATATTAATAGATGATGGTAACCATAGTTATTGGCTGTATATTTATAGATGATTGTAACCATATTTATGGTCTGTATATTTATAGATGATTGTAACCATAGTTATTGTCTGTATATTTATAGATGATTGTAACCATAGTTATGGTCTGTATATTTATAGATGATGGTAAACATAGTTAACTCATGGTCTTTATATTTATAGATGATGGTTACCATAGTTAACTGATGGTCCATATATTTATAGATGATGGTAACCATAGTTATTGTCTGTATATTTATAGATGATTGTAACCATAGTTATTGTCTGTATATTTACAGATGATGGTAACCATAGTTATTGTCTGTATAATCATAGCGGTTGCTAGATTCAGGTCAGAGTGTATAATGTTTCCATCAACAACAGAGGTACAGACACAGTCACACTATTATATTGTCCACACACTGTTCATGATAATTCACCATGTGTATTGATAATGTCTTATTGACAATGGGCTAGGCTGCCTACTCAAGTGTCTAAATCACATGTCTGAAGTGCTGAGTCAGTTTATTTCTGGCAGTAGTCCCAGCTCTATGTGTTTTTGTACGGACATAAACCTGTTTGTTTAAATAGTTTAAAGTCTCAAGGGTAATCATGTATTTCCTATTTGTAATGTTGCATGAAATTTGTTATCATACAAAACATATACATTGTACGTCACATAAAGTAAAGTCACTAATAAACATGTTCTATTCTTATATGTGTGTGTGTAAGTATGTGTACTATCTCATAACAGAGCTTTTAAGGTACAAGACCTAGGGGAATCTTAGAGACAACCGTGAAAGGATCTTTATCAATTCTACAAAAACTTTCCCTTCAGGAACTGTGACCCAGTCCCATGCTGGAAATCCTAAATGGGAATCTTATACATTAACATCAGTCTTGTAATGCCATGTTGTTTGCCACTATGGCAAATGTCACTGGATTAGAATTGCATAACTATATGCAAAATGCTAAAAATGTATTATTCTTACATTATTAGATCTCGCGGAGCTGTAAAAAAGATGATTTCCCAATAGGGCCAGGGGTATTTTTACATATAAGGTTTGAGAAAGATTCCTCAGAGTACTTTCTGAGAAATTAGAGCTAACAAAACTACCAAAATCGAAGATGGCCACCTGTCGGCCGTTTTGTTTTCCCAATCAGTCTCAAAAGTTAACATGCACAACAGGAGATCAACAGGAACGTTAACCTTCTTATAAAATTTGAGAAAGATTCCTCCAGTACTTTCTCAGAAATAGAGATAACAAACCTTAACTATCAAAATCCAAGATGGCCACTGGTCATTCGTTTTGCTTTTTTGATCAGTCTCAAAGTAAACATGCACAGCTAAAGAACAAAGGGAACTTACATATAAAGTTTGCGAAGGATCCCTCAAGCACTTTCTGAGAAATTTTGAAAACAAACCTTTACTGCCAAAATCAAAGATGGCTGACTGTCGGCCATTTTGTTCATTCGATCAGTCTCACAAGTAAATATAGACAACTAGAGACCTAGAGGAATCTATGAGAGAGATCCAAAATAGCGGTAACAAGAATTGTTTAAGGAGGGACGACAGAACAATTAAGGGTAATTTGAATAAAGATAATTATAAAAGAAAGTACAGTATATAATGTTTAGATGAACAAAAATCTTGTATGGTAATTTAATATATCTCTTTAAATTGAAATGGCTGCAAACCATGCAAAGTGGAATTATGCAGCCCCCCACATGCAAAGTAGTTATCTCTATTTGTAAACTGTCAACCAGTGCAATTCAAATCAGGTGTTGTAGTTTGTTTGCTCTTCGTTGTGCTTCCTGGCAAGAGGTGAGGCCATATAGAGGCAGTGTCAACAGGTGATTGGGCCTCTTAAGGGCCTTTAATGTGCCAAAAGAAAGGTTGGGAAGTAAAGGAAAGAATTGTAAAGAGGGTAACATAACTATTTTGGTTTCCCAAATGTCCCCCTACGCAGATTTCACAGAAGAAAACCCCCAATTCCACACAAGGGTACACATTAGTCATCTCATGATCAATCAGGCTGGTTTTATTGGAAACAGCAGGTCCTCTCCTTCCCCGAATTTGCACAGATAATTTGAAGGTAAAATGATGACACTGAACATTTATTTAAGCCTATCTAACTTGTTCTCCTTATGTGTCAAAACCTGTTTTGGTTTTGTCCCTACGATTCTGAAAATGTTAACATTTCATATTACAGGGTTACCTACAAAGAAAAAAAAAATCTGCTACTACAGTGCTACCACTTTAAACAAGTGTTTAGTTACTGGTTCCTAAACATGTTCCTTCTACTTCTTAAGTTGAAATGACAAGTGTTCATTTTACTCTAAAGTTACTAGCAGGATTACTATACAGACACATGTTACAACAAGGACCAATTGTAATGGGGGACCATTACAGAAGTCCCCCAAACTGCCCCCTTAGTCACAAAGTTACATCAGAAAAGCATCACAATGGCATAAAACACCTTCATACTAAATTTGAGTGAAATCGAACAATATCTGAATTTCGACCCATCTGAAGCCTCCATGTTGTTGGTATGGCAATGAAACCTATGCAGTTGAATTTGCAGTCACCTAATACCCCTGTAAACCAATTTTCACAAACATCGAACAATATCTAAATTTCGACCAATCAGAACCCAGTATTGGTGGCCATTTTGTCAAATTAGAAAACAAATGTCGCAGTTGAGTTTGCAATGCCATATTACACAAACATACTAAATTTGAACGAAATCGAACAATAACGGAGTTTTTCAAATTCAATCAATCAGTAACCAGTATATGGCAGCCATTTTGTCTAATTAGATAACGGATGTCATGGTTGAGTTGGCAGTACCATCATTCACCAACATGCCAAATTTGGAATGCATTGAAAACAATCTATAAAACATGTAAAATAGGATAGGTGACATTCCATAACCAGGTAAAAGAAGGAATTACAAAAATGAACATAAGGGAAAAAGCCTTATATCCTATAACACTTAATATTGCAAACATATATATATAACAACAAAACTATCACATCTACAACTACAGCAGCCAAGGCAATGGAAGGCTTACACAGTTATATATAAACTATAATTTATCATTACATATCAAATTATTCTTTTATACATAACTTCACACAATGAAAGAGTTAACCTGTTTATTACTTGAGTTAAGACACAGATATGTATGTGCAAGCAAAGAACAAGTACTAAAACCTACTGCAAACATTTGGCGTATCAGGGGCTACTCACTCTATAACAAACCTACTAATAGTAACAAATTCTTTTCAAAAGATTTTAAAGGAAGCTAGACTCTGCGAAGTCACAGAGAA